TTGAGATTTTCTGGGGAGACACAATCTTGTTTGACGCAGCCTTTGGTTTCAAGGTTGTTCCTGATGTTGGTAGAGTGTCGAAAGCGGTTTTGTTGAACAGAAAAGGACAGAGTGACTATTCTGTTGTAGCATCAGTTGTCTCTTCCATCCCAGAGTCGATTGTTCTTGGCGTCGGCGTTGTCTGCCGTTGACGGCGGCATTAGATCACTGCTGCGGCATTAGATCGCTTCAGCAGCTGCTGTAGTTGATAGCACGGCCGTCTTTGGGAATGACCCTGTAGAACCCAGTACAATTTCTACTGGCAAAAATGTTCAACCACTGGCCGCCGTGTTGAGGCAAAATTCTGACAGACCAACCCCAGAGAAAAAGATGGGTTGGCGATTCACCTGACCCAACCATGCCCACAAAATTCCATAATTATCCACCAAGCACATAGCATCGTATATTTGTGTGTTGCCTAGCTAGTAGCTAGTAGTTAGTCATCACATTCGTCCACATCATCCTCAGGTCCCCATGACGTTCGCCCCTCTTCGTCGTCGTGATCTTCGTCCTCCAAATCATGAAACTCGGTGAACTCCTCCACTGCAGGATCTAGAAGAAGGCGAACTTCGGCCAAGATCCTCTGCAGCGGTCCGTCAAAGGTTTTTGTAGCAATCACGAATACGGGGTCATTTGGAACGCACATTTTGTCCTTTAGGAACCGCTGCCCGTCTGCGCTGGTTGGTATCATCATTTGGACCTCGAGCTGCCAAAAAATCGTTCAACCTTTGGATGTCTGTATCGTCCAGGTTGGTGCCCTGTGAATTATTCTTCACAAAAATTGCCGCAGCCCTGGCGATGGGAAATCGCAAGCGAATGAGCGGAAACTCCTGATCGCTTAGTGTCAGCTTCATTTGTCCTATTGGAGTATCGGTTAGGGTGCGCTTGATGGTAAGAGTTGGTGAGCTCATGGCACCGGTTCCACGGGAGCGAGACACAGATCAGGAGAAAAAGACGTCTCGGAACTGATCCAGTTGGGAAGGTGGGTAAGGTACATCCATTGTCTGTTGTTTTGTGGTCAAAGTTGGTGTTGTGTTGTCTTCCAATCTCCCAACAGGTGGAAGGTTGGCGATCACCTCAACAGCTCTGGCGGCTTTCCTCATTACACCGGCGTCAACACGACGACCGCAAAGGGACGACCGCAAAGGGACGACGCAAAGCGAAGGGGACGACCGCGAAGGCTTCACGAAGCCGACCGAGAGGCAGCCAACAGAGGCCATACCAGTACCGGTACGCCATCATCATCATGAGTGCACCACAACCTGGCGGACCCTCTTCGTCGTCGCCATGGACTCACGTCCAATTCGACACGACCATTGTAAGGACACATCAGAGATGGTTGAAACGGATCTCTTGGCTCCTAAGTTTTTCAGGAAGTTTTCTAATCATGTATTGCATGTTGTGCCTTCTCTGTCCTCACCATTATTTCAGGGAACGTTTGTTGTTGAACTGTATTTTAATCATGCTCCTCGAACATGCTACAACATGGCAGCATTGGCAAACACTGGATACTTCGATGGGTGAGTTGGTTCTACTTGTACCCACCAGACCAAGGTTTTCCAAATATTTCCAAATCTACTCAAACATACTTCAACAACAAACTTCTACTCCTGCAGGGTGAGCTTTCACCGAATTATCAAGGATTTCATGATACAAGGAGGGGATCCTTCTGGAACAGGACGAGGGTGAGTCACTTGGTAGCTAGATTTGGCTGCCCATACTTTTGTTCAAGTTTCCAGCTGACAGTTTTCTTCGTTCTTCCTTTTTCTTCATTCCCTCCATTCAGGGGCGAGAGCATCTATGGTGGCAAATTCGAGGACGAAATCACTCGCAACCTAAAGCACACGGGAGCTGGTGTGGTATCAAGCGCCAATGCTGGGCCCAATACTAACGGATCTCAATTCTTTGTCACCTTGAAACCAACGCCTTGGTTGGATGGGAAACATACCATCTTTGGACGCATCTACTCGGGGATGGGTGTCATTCAGCGTATGGGAATGGTCGAAGTAGATGATAAGGATAAGCCCAAACATCCAGGTTAGTGCAACTTGCCAAGAAATAAATGAGGAACTCACTTTCATGCCATATTGCATTCTGACCCTCCTTTGTCCTCTGCACCCCTCTTGCAGTCATCATCCACAAAGCCACACCGTTCCGAGGACCGCCACCGCCCAAGTCTGAACAGCAAGCGCGGGCACAACACTTGCAAATTGCTGCTTCTTAGCAATAGTGCTTCAGTAGATTTCGACTCAGTCAGATTTGGAAAAATCACGGCAGAACCACTGTGTGGTGATTGGATCTGCTGGGTTCCTGGTGCGGCTAGCTCCCAGAGGGCGCCTTCACAGTACGGGGGCCTCACATTTATTTGTAGCTCTAGCCACATCCGAGGATGATTTTTATCATACGCCCACCATGTTTTGCTACTGTACGGTAGTTCCAAAGCTAGCCCAAGAGGCACTTGGCAAGACATTTCGTGTATTCTATAGCTTTACGGATATGTTATTAATATGATACCAACAAGATGTTTGTCGCACTTTGGTGACCGTAACATTTTGCTTCCGCTGACAATGCGGAAGCATACTCGAGCGGTGAGTCGGGACGATTCGATTCTGCGATTGGACTGTTCGAGCGGAGCCTTGGGAATGCTCCGTAGCACATCTCGACGCAACAATCACTTGCACGTACGTGTGCAAGAAGGCAATGCTTCCTAGCTAGCTTGGTGTGTCAACTCGCTCTCGAGCCATGCAAAGGTGGCGGATCCGAGTTTCTCGATTGAATCGAATCATTCTTTGCTGCTTTACGATTCTAGCTTTTACCATTGGAATCGGCTGGTCGCTTGCATTCCTCTGGATCTCGCCCCGAACCAGCAGGCTGGCTATCTCGGACCAGCTGCTTCAGCTGCTCTGCGGATAGGCCGAGGTGACTTCGGCCGTTGTTCCTACTTGCAGCAGCGGCAAAGGGGTTGCCGTTTTGCAACGTGGTGAGATTTCTCATCAAGATGGAGTTTGCCAGCACAGTTCTTGAGGTGGACGCGGCTGCCACTGCCCGTTGCTGCTCTTCCTGCGCCACCAGAGCGTCGGCTACAGCTGCCAATGCTCTCGGCGGCAGAGACGATGCCCCAATACAGGGCAATGCCCCAATACTGGTACCGGGCAACGTGGTGGGCATGGCCAATGGATTGTTCCGAAGACGCAATAAGTCCAACGTGCTGAGGCCACCACCAAGAAGATTATTGGGGGTTGCTAAACCAGCAAGCTGTTGTAAAGGATTCGGAGGCAGACGCGCAGCTTGCGGTGCTGCTGGCAATTGCATGGAGGGTGGAAGCTGCGCTTGACCACGCAACAATGCCGACTGGCGAATCCACGCCGCGGTAGCAGCACTTTGTGGCATGGCCAATGATGTGGAAGCTGCTGCTGTTGCTGTAGTAGCAGCCACATTTGCAGAAATTGCTCCATCAACAGCCCTGATTTTGCAAGGCCTTTCCCCAGCAGGGGAATTCTCAGCGGGGCGTTTACCATTGCCACCGTCGGCGCCTGCTTTTTCGGCTTTTCCTCGTTGGCGTGAAGAACTCTTTTCACTAAGGATTTTTGCGGCCTTCTTTTTTGCAACCTGCAATATTTTAGATTGGAAGAAGGCAAATGCAGCTAGTGGTCAGGATGTGCTAATTCAGATGGGCATTTTGACTGATCTCGTAGCTGGCGTACCTCGTCTCCTACGTCGTGCCATAGGCTGTCATCTCCCTTTTCGGGGTCTGTCTTGGTAAGGAAGCGTCCCTTTCTTTCCCTCCAGATGCGAACGACCTCGTGAACCACGATGGCCTTATCCTTTCGGCTTGACCCACGGTAAGAGGATCTGTGCTCATCGGCTAAAACACGGAATCTGTGGTTGCCAATATGGTAGTTAGTTTCTCCGCCTCGTCCAAACTGTTAAGGAATCACAAGAGGGGCATATGCACAGTGAGCATAGCCGAAAAAGCTGCGACAGCATGGCACAACTACAACGATACAACTCGCAGTACATGTAGACGAAAGCGAACTAAAGGGGAACATGAGAATGCTTCTGTCAATACCTCCTTTCTGGAACTCACCATGACGTCTGTTTTTCGTGAGAAGAAAGAAGAGATAATAGCAGCGTATTAGCTCCCGGCCTTCACCATCGCCTTGCCATGTATCAACGAGACTGCTAAGACTCACCATTGATGCCAGGATGCTTTATACCGGTTAGCGGAAGAGCCGCAACCTCTGCACTCATTGTCGAATTGGAACTGGGTTAGACTCGGCTCGACTCGACTCGACTCGACTCTAATAACCGATCACTCTGCTTTCACTGTGGGCTCTTTGTGGATTGCAAAGCAACAACAATTCTCTAGCTAGCTAGAGTAGGTCTTTGTTTCCTGTCCGATTATAAAACAATCCTATCCGCCATAGTGTGTGTCTACTAGTATCTCGCGTCGTCTCGTCGTGCACCGTGCAGCAACCAAAAACCAATTTGCCTCGGCTGCACGAAGACATTGATTTAGAACAACCTGCCACCTGCCACTGTTTTAGTGAAAGTGCCCCAGCACCCCCATAACTAAATTTTGGTTCCGGCTTCCGGCATCTCGCAAGTTGCGGCAATTCATTATTGATTAGGTTAGTACTGTGGCAATAGAGTACAAGTTGTTGCAAGACTCTTCTGTCGTCGATGTTGATCGGAGATCGGAGAAGTGAATAATCTATTTATGACCAGCTGTACAGCCTTTTCACTCTAGTAGTACGACAAAAACTGAGCTTCTGCGTTTTGTCTCACTTGCCGAATTTAAAGTGGTGCGTTACCGCATACCGGTATCTACATGCACAGTTAACAGGTACTACGGTACTATTATAGTACCGGTAGTAGTTTAGTACCAGGTACCCATGTCCTTGCTTATACAGTACTCAGTACAGTAGATGTATCTTGTAAACCCATTGTATATTGTATACTGCGAGCATAGTTTTCATAACAAAAGTCTATCAGGCATGAGAAAGGCTTAAAAGAGTGGAGCACGGTAGATCTAAGATGTTAACTCTCTAAGAATCGATCTGGAGCCCGTTAAGCAAGTTTCACCGAACCCAAAAGATCACGTGAACTGGTGGGGCGAACACGAAGACTATGAGTGACAGTCAATGAATTGAGTCGTCGAGTCATTCATCAGTCCTCAGGACCTCTGTGGAAACATCATTCGTGGCAAATTACTTAGGAGACGATACACCAAGGCTTAGGAGACGATCAAAATGATTTAAGAGACGAAAGCAATCGTCTCCTATATTTAGGAGACGATTCATTAGGAGACATTCCATTTAGGAGATGATCGTTTCGAAATAGAAGACGATCCAAAAGATTCAAGAGCCATTACCATACAGTTTACATGGTGCACTTAAGAGACGATCCGTTGAGAATAGGAGTTGAAAATAGGAGACGATTTAAGAGGAGATGAAAGATTTAAGAGACGATCCGTTTCGTCTCCTATTTTTAGGAGACGAAATCCATTAAATAGGAGACGATAAAAAGGATTTAAAAGACGATCCGTAGCACGAGTCGAGTTTCCACAGAGGTCCAGTGTAGTAGTCCTGTAGTTCTCGCTCAGCTACCGGTATTCATATTATGCACATACTGAAGCTGGAGCAACCCGTTTCTAAAAATTCAGGATTTTACTTTTACACGAGAATGAAATTGCTTTAGAAATGGTTGTTTCGCTCAAAATTTTCATTGTAAAAGCAAAAACATAACACTCTAGAGACTAGCTAGCTACTAGCTAGTAGCAAGGCTAGTCTAATATTTAAGTTTCTTGTCGGTTTCTGGTTTTTCAATCGAAGCATTGGATTTATCATTCCGTTCTCGCGATGTGGATGAAGGACCTCAAGCCGTTTCAAGTCGAGCGGAGAATTACACGTACTGTACGTTCCATCCAAGATGAATGAGCAAGGTGCCGGGCTACCGGAAGCTAGTTACACGTCTACCGGTACAGAGGAGGTAGCCACCGCGACATGTATGTCGTTGTGTTGTACTCTGGACTCTGAGCATGCTGCAGGTACTACTAGTACATGTACCGGTAACTTTGCGATTTACTGGTAACTTCGAGTTTCCTGTACCAGTATGACACACCAAGCAAGCACCAAGATCACTCTACGAAAGGGCAATCGGCTAAAAAACCAGAATCCTGGTGATCATGGTCATGGTGAGCTCTTTCTGGTCGAGTCGAGTCGAGTCGAGTCGAGTCGAGTCGAGTCGAGTCGAGTCGAGTCGAGTCGAGTCGAGTCAGTCCATGAGCTACTAGTACCTGGCTAGCAGGGTGCAGAAAACGGATCTTTGGGCTGGTGGGTTGTCGCGCGCACAAAGTAGTATCCATCTGCGATCAGTGTAAACCGTGGGATCTCGTGCCATGCAGAGCTTCCAGAAGTGCGACGGGATAGGGGATGAACCACTAATAGACAAACGGAGAAACCCATGATAGTTTGGCAGCCGACTAAGAATCTGCTCGTACATCGCACAGATACCAGTGGTTCCGGTAGAGTGGTTCCGGTTTGACTCAGTCGCCTGGACAACACGCTATCATTCCGTCGATGATGGTTGACAGACGTGGCGGCGTCTCTCACCGGTACTTTCAGCCCCAGGCAAAACCATCAATTGCTTTGCGAGTGTAACTCTACTCAGAGGTGCGATGTTGCGGAAGGTAGTGATGATGATTCCTTCTTCGTTGTTGAAGCTGGATGTTATGCTGCCTCTTTCATCCCAGCGAGGTAGCGAGGGTCTCTGTATCTGAAGAACAATTACATATCTACCGGAACATTCAGCCCCACCAGTGTCTGTACTTACGTTGAATGGATCAATCTCAGGCAGGGCACATACGCATCTATCTTGAACCCTGGCTGCTGCGGGGGCCCTCTGATAACTGTCCTTTGATCCAAGTTCTCTGGTGACCTCCGGCATTTAATTTCAATCTCTTTGTCAACATCAGTACTAGTACTCGTAACTTCAGATCTTGGCCCGTAGGGCTCAGAGATCTGCCTTGAAGAAGGAGCTAAGGCACTGCCACTAAAGATCCAAGCAATCATACCGCAAGCGACCCAGCTTGGGCCCACCAGTACATGTACCAGTGGGCGAATACCGGTACATTCTATAAAGCCGACCATCAGTGTCCCCGCGCCGAGTTTTAGACTGCATGGTGCCAAGCTTATACTCGTCTTGCCATCCATGGTACCGGACTCCTTGTAGGGCTCGTAGGACGCCAGCCACGAGAAACTGCTTGGATCAATAGCAGGAGTGACACCTGACAGACTGCGGCAACAGAGTTCTAGTAGGGGACAACAAATCCAATGGGGCATCATTGATACATGCACCTGTCTGTATCTGTATAGAACTAATAATAGGACCACCATTCCTTTAGCTCTTCTACAAAAGTCGTGATATGCCTTGCGCTGCCATGACGCCATAGAAGACGGCAGGAATGACGGGAAAGAAATCAAACGGCACCGGGGTTCCTCCCAGGGATTCAATGTCTCCTATTCTGGTAACAAAGGAACCAAAAAAGAGCACCCCAATAGCGCCATTGAACAAAATTCCTGGTAATTGTGACTCAGCCGTGGGTTTGAAGGGAGAAGATTGTCGCTCCACAACGGCAGCAGCCAAATCGGGGTTGGTTTCGTCGGCTTTGAAGTCCATGGCGATGCCATTCATGCAGTAGCGTTGTCCAGTGGGCTGTGGTCCGTCGTCAAAGACATGACCAAGGTGACCACCACACGAACCGCAACATACTTCAGTGCGTGGCATTATCAACTTGTAATCAACCGACAAATCGACAGCACTTTTATCAACAGGCTGGTAGAAGGAGGGCCAGCCAGAGCCAGATTCAAACTTGGCGGCAGTAGTGAAGAGGGGTGCTCCACATCCTTTACACACAAAAGTGCCAGGTTCTTTTACATCGTTGAGTTCTGAGCTTCTTGGTGCCTCGGTTCCGGCTTCTCGCAGTACGTAGTAGGCTTGGGGAGAAAGCTCTTGCCGCCACTCTTCTTCGGTCTTTTCCACCTTTTCAATTGTCGCAAAGAGTTTGGTAGGACCGATACCGGTCTGCATGGCGTGGTGCTTTCTTTGGCTTGGCTGAAAAGCCGTGCAGCCTGACAGCGAAAGAGAGAGTAGACACAGGAGTTGCAGACAAGTCCTCATGGTTAAATCAATCGTTATATTACTATGGGCAAGGCAAGGAAGCAAGAAGCAAACTTCCACTTTCGCTTGGATGCAGTACTAGCTAGTAAAACTGTTTGACGAAAATGGTCTGACTCAGTGAATATTAACGTTAACCCTAGTGCACTTTGTACAGTTAACATAACGACAGTTTGATTTCTTCGCGCCAAAGAAAGGCCGTCGAACGCGTCGTGCTTCCCATCACCCCGCCATTTCTTCAGCTCTCATCAGAATCGAATGTAATAGTACTCTGGATAGTAGTACTAGTAATCCAGCCATCACTTCGGCCCATTTATGAATTGAACAGGGACAATGTCTTCTTCTCTGCGTAGCTTTCCGTCGTTGGCCCCTCCAACACCAAAGAAATCGCCGTCGCCACGGCTCATTCCGCGGCGCAGTCCTCGTCGTCTGGGTCCAGCTTTGATCGGTGGAATGGGTCAAGAGAACAATGGGAACCATAATGACAGCATTGGTGTGGAATCCAATGCTGTGAAGAAGCCTAAACCAGCTCTCTCTCAGACTGAACAACAATCACTAATGGATTCAAATGCCAAACTAAAGAGGACAGTTCCACCCATGTTGAGACGGAGGGGACGGAAACGGCAGCAGGAAAGCAGTGCTGTCAAGAGCAATGAACCAACGAGCTCTCCTAAACAACAAACATTGGTACCTGTTTCAGCAGCCAGTACTCAATCCCCACGTTCCGCCTCCCGTTCCTCCAACGAGAGTGTAGAAGAACATGACCCGTTTATCTTTGTGGACGACGACGAGTTTGTTCCAATGACGCCCAAGACGCTAGATAGCGCTCTTCAGCTGGACGGACAAGTGACAATGACGCCCCCGTCACAGAGCCCTCCTCTCTTTGTGTCGGCCAAGAAACTGGGAAACCAAGTCAAAAAACAAAAGACATACACTGCCAAGCGACGAAGACCTTCTGATGAGGCGTCTGCTGCCATGGAAAATGAAGATGACAGCATGAAACTTCCTGAAGGCCTGTCTCCAGCACAGAAAGCCAGAGAGTACTGGAAAAAGTGCTACGGGGAAAAGCCACCGCAGATTCATCCGCAAACAAGCTGGTCTGCGAGAAGAGTGGCACCCACCAAAGGATGGTAGGTATTGTCGTCGTCTCGTCTTGTCTTGTGCAAAAAGCAAACAAAACAACTGACCACTCAATTCTTTGTCTTGCTCTATTAGTCTTTCGCATTCCAAGCCAAAGGCAAACACAACAACGGCACATTTTGCAGTTGCTCCAACTTTTGGAGCCGTTCAGTCGCCGCCTCTCTTGCGACACAACAATGGAAGCCAAGGCTTTTCAACGCCGCGAACATCTCCCGACAACAGCAACAACTCACATTTGAAATGTCCACATTCCAAGTCTGTACAATTTGGCGTGGCAGAGGCTGCCGAATACGAACGAGATGCACCGGCGGGCAAGTTTACACCTCTGCCCGCGGAGGTGGCGCAACAACGATTCCCTTTGACACCCAAGCCAAAAGATGACGATCAAGGGGAGGAAGAAATTGCAGAGACAAAAGAAAATTCGGCCATGCTAGCTGTGTGGGAGCAAGACTTTGACAGCCTGGCGGAAGACAATTACAATGATAAGCCAAAAAAACTACAGGGTTCCAAGCGCCGGCGCTCAAACACGAAACATCGACGGCGAAGCAGCTCTGACAGAAGGAAGAGTTCTTCTTTCTGCTCTCCAGGTAACGGAGGCGCATTGTACGACCCAACAAACGACGAGGAAGGCACACCTGGCAATCCAAGCTTGCTTGTGATGGATAACTTGTCAAGCGAAGCGGTGCAGTCTCCTTCTACTGGTGTAACCGTTGGCAGCCCAGAGCAACCAAAACAGTGCGATGAAAGCGCCGTCGAAGAGAGATCCGGCTCTCTTTCTCCAGTTCAAGCAAGACGGCTTTCCTCAGAACCCTTGTCTGCCTCGAAAGAGGATGCTCCTGCTTCCGAAACAAATCACATTGTATCTCAGGAAGAAGACGATTTCGATCAGGCCGAGCAAGGTACCAAGGTAAGAAACCCCGATACGTCATTCAAGTGTGGTTCAGTTTTGTGACAATACCTATGTGTTTCTAACCGTTGTCATCCCCAGCTTCGATCCCGACTGGACACAACCAATGTTTGGCTTGAAGCTTTAACAAACTCCTCTCTGCTTAGTCGTCGCGACACAAATTGGGACCTCAAAACTGTGGCGGCAAACTTGGCGTTGGGTTCTGGCAACCGCAGCATCAACGGGGTCTTCAATAACAATAATATCGGTCCCGCAAGGACGATTTCCAGTGCTTGGCATTCCTGTTTGAATGGATGCGTACAAAATAGTCTGTATGCGGCGACAACAAAGACCCTCCCTACAGCAACTACCACGTGCATCAATGATGACTACAGTTCCATCGACCCAGAATTTTTGGAGACATGGCAACGGCTGGCATTGAACGAATGGCAGAAGGTCGAATTGGAAATTTGCAAAAACCTCCGCCGAAGTTTCGCCCCAGTCAAGCAACAAATCTCCCAGAAATCAATTGTGTTGGGCTCTGTGGTTCTCCCTGTCAAGGCATCGCTGGGGCCAACGAGAAAGCATCTGTCAGAGACAGAGAAGGAAATTCAACGGCTGGAGGAGATGATCAAGATGGAAGAGCGGAAGAAGGTTCAAATGCACCAGCGCTTCAAGATGGCTGAACAGCAACTACAGCGACTGCAGGGTGCTTCTTCTCTTCTGTCCTACTCTGCCGTTCGTCAGCTATCATCTATAGACGTATCGATCGCAGAGCAGTGTCAAGCCATCTTTCATCATGTCGCTCAGGGCTTGGAGACCCGACTCGAATTGGACGGATCCATGGACGTTGCTGTATCCCGGGCAGTTCAGCTGGATGAGAAGCAGGATGGCGACATCATTGACAAGTTTTATAATGCCCTGCTCTCCCCGGCAAGGCTTCAGGAAGGTCTCATTTTGCGATTGTCGGGAGAGAATGGAGTCGATGACACGACAGAAGCGCTCGAGATGCCGGTGCTCGCGGGAAGAATCGATCTTGCAGCGCTGAGCCTTCAAGAGATAGCCAATGAATACGACGTGTCATTGACAATGGAAGAAGTAGAATCAAAGCCCACGCTTTTTGTGCGAGTTCAGCTTGGTGACAAGTCAGTTTTGAAAGCCTCTTACGGACGACATGGAAGCTCTGGGAGTGCATGGTGGGTTCCAGATACTGTCTTTTGTGAACAGGACTTAGGGGAACGCATTGATCTGAGCTCTGTTCTGAACCAATGGGTGAGACAAGGAAGCTTGGAGGCCACTGCAGGGTTTCTACGAGCTGCATGCGAGGAGGTGCTGCAAAGACTTGCTGCAATTGAATAGATAGACGGGCAAATGACTGGTGCTTTACGAGTATGCATAGAATTGTTCTAAGAGAGTACTAGTATATCAACGAGATTGAAACAGGTCGATGGAAGACAAACGCCCTTCGTACAAGCAGTTTGGCTACATTATTGTACCTGTAGCTCGCAGCAGCAATAGTGTTACCGGTAGTACTGTACCAGGTTCCGGTACATCGGGGAACTAGTTGGTTGCTGTCGAATACGGTAGCACTGGATCTCTACTCATAGAGGCCGCTTCTTCATCAGCCTGGCTACTTCCAGTTGTTGTGACTACCGGTACTTATTACAAGCTCCACATGCGCTGCACTAAAACAGATTGGCCTTGGCCGTCCACCGTTTGAGCAGCTCGTAACTTCCAAATTGAATGGCGACGTTTGGCAGCATGCGGATTGTGTTGATAAGAAGTCCACTGTACAATCTAGCGATTCCGTGGTTCTGATAAATTTGCCTGGCACAGTCCCAGTAACCAGAATACACTGCGGTAGTTCCTCGGCTTCCCTGCATTTGGAGCATGCGTCTCACAGTATCATTTGGGTAGGTAATAAGACCAGCCATGACACCTCCCAATCCTCCCATGAACATTTTCCTGGTGACGTAGTAGGATGCTGGTTGATCTGGCTGTGTGGGGAATAGTTGTTCCAAAAGTCCAACAGTACCGAATTTGATACCTTCATACGGCAATGCACCTATCAGAGTGGGTGTCACTCCCTTGTACAAAGCAAGTAATCCTTCATCTTTGATGGTGATCACAATGGTTCGGGTGATGCCACTGTATTCTTTGGTGGGCCGAATGGATTGTTGTGGTTGGCCTGTCTTTGCTGCAGCGCCGGCACCCGCCAATTTTCCAGAGATTCTTCCTCTTGCAAAATCCAAAGGGTACGTAAGCGCACTTGCCGTCATTCCTGCAAATCCTCCTGCCAAGAAGGAGACCGCCCCACTTTCACTGCCGGAGAGACGGCTAAAGATGGATTTATACATGTCATTGGTGGAGAAAACGACAGCTTTGGCGGGGAAAATTCGCACCAAATTGGCTCCATTACCAGCCCACAAGCCCAGGACGCCTTCCTTTTGAATAATGTTGCGATACATGGACACGATGGAAGGTCGTTGTCGAGTTTCCATCCCGTGTTCTCCTGTTTGAGACAACATTTTGATCCGTTCCAAAGGATTGGTCGCAGTCTGTTTGTGTTTGTGTTTTGGCCGATTTAGTTAGTACAAGTTAGGGTGAAATTCGGATATTTTCTCGTTCGGCTTTTGGAAACATACCTTTGCCACCATGCCGGCCACACCCCCACAGACCATTCTTCTTGTCATATCTGAGGTGGAAATCTGCTGCTTGTCGGAGTTGGTCTCCTTGTCCACTCTACTATTGGAGTCCATGCTCACTGATTTTTTCGCGTTGGTACTCGACAGCGTCACAGCCGGCGAGCTTTCCACTTGGACCTCACTATTATTCATCCGTCAACTGGCTACCGGTAGCTGTTAGCTGTTAGCTGTTAGCTGTTAGCTGAAGTTGTTGTTGTTTTGGAAGGTGAATTCTAATGGATCAGGCATCAAGCAATCAACCAGTTGAGGTCATTGCCTAACTAATTTGTCATTGTTTTGTGACGAAAGTGCTGAAAAAGAACCGCGAAGAAAGAAGCCAGCGTTGCAGGCTGATCCTTTGGAAGAGCACAATCACAAAACGAAAGAAGAAACAATCATGATACCTCTCATTATTTCCTCAAGGGTTGTTGCCAAGCCATCTCAAATCCTCCGTAGACTACCACATCTTATCCAACGACGAAATCATGGTGGCGTTGCGTCGTCACCTGCCAATCGCAACGACAAGGAACTGAGTACCAAAAAATGGGTAGAAAGCATTGTCATCGGCGAAAAACTATGCCCGTTTGCCGCACCTCTTCTCAAAGAGGAAGGTCTGTTGCGTATAGTTGTTTCCAGTGCAACCAACACGGACGAAGCTGTGAAGGATGTACAGAGGGAAGTGCAAGATCTGGTGGGCACAGACTCTCGAACTGCCTCTTCCAGTAGAACCCATGAAACAACCTTGTTGGTTTTCGACAAGGACACGTTTGTCAAGGATTATTTGGATTTTGTACGGTTATCCTGGACATTGCAAGAGCTAGCCGTAGAAGAATATCAGTTGCAAGACAAGCTTCAGTTGGTGCTGTTTCATCCACAAGCAACACATCAAACCTATGCAGTTTTTGATGGGGAGGATGATGATTTGGAGAGTCCTGGTGACTATACCATTAGATCACCTTATCCTACGGTTCATTTGCTGCGAGAAGAGGATGTTTTGAGAGCTGTCAAGAGTGGGTATCCAGATCTCGAGTATCTGCCTTCTCGGAACAAAGCAAAGCTGCTGGGTCAAGGGATTGAAGCTTGCCGGCACCGATTGCAACAATGTTACCACGTTGTCAACTAATTGAATAGTATGTTTTGCACATTTGTTTCTTTGAGGCTGTGAGTACGGTTCTGCCATTGAGGCAGGTGTTTCCGTGCATTGCTTCATCAGACCAGACGTGATAAAAGGAGGAGTGGAACCAACTACATGTATTGGTAGCTCATAGTTTTTCTAGAATAATTCCCTGTCCACAAAAGTACCATGTCAAGTCAGTTTTGGCAACAGAATCAATCGAATCAACGATTCTCTCAACAAAGTAAGTACGGTACCAGTACCAGTACATACTCTGAATCGAATGATTCTCTCAACAAAGTACAGTACCTACATACTCTTTGAGAGAGATTTTGAAAGTTCGTTTGTTGGAGTCTACTAGTCTCAGACAGAACGACACCAACTCCCAATGTGTCATATTTCCGCCTTGCTGGCTAAAACAACAAAGCATTCCCAGCCAGCCTCCCAGCCTTTTTCCAAAAATTGAGGACGTCGAACGCGAAACCGTGTTGTCCGCAGGCACAATACAGAAGAAGGTTGCTCGCTTTTGGCAATACTCTACTACTTTGTAAGAAAGGAAGAAAGATTAGGAAGAAACTGGGCTCATAGTAGTTGTCGGATAGTTGTCAAAAAGTAGGGGAGCTCAAGATCCATTGGATTGTTGCCGAAGTGGAATCCGAATCGAAATCGATTAGAACAAGTGCCTCCACAAACACCATTGCCGCGGTAGCGTAGAAAACGGAGAGCCCGAGGCTCAGGACATTGCGACAATGGATGAATCATTAAATGTGACGGGGATGGCCTACTACGGCAATGAGACCATGTTTCCCACGGCTAGTCCAACGGAACAGGAGCCGTTCTTCAAGTATGAGTGGTGGCAGTACTTCATCATCCCGTGGGTAGCAGGTGAGACGGGGATACGATAAGAGTCCTTAATACTGTACTCGGTTCCTTCAAGGGATCACTCAAGGTGTTTCTGATCACCTCCCCGCTCTCTTTTCAATTAGGTTTGGTTGGATATGCTACTAATGTTCTGGCCCTGGAGATGACTTTTTATCCCGTGGAATTCTTTGGCATCCTTATCTTTCGAATTCCTACAGAGCCTTGGGGTTTGTTTGGCTGGCAAGGGATTATCCCTACCAAGGCCCAAAAGATGGCATCAGTATGCTTTGATCTGATGACAGAAAAACTCTTCAATGTCAAGGAGATCTTCGGCCGTCTTGATCCTGTCAAGTTCAGTGAAGTCATGGAAGATGGCATGCTCCTGATCATGGATGCCATCATCAATGATGTAGCAGAGCAGTTCATGGGGGATTCATGGAACAATCTACCCAAAGAAGTCCGAGATGATGTTGTCATTACGGCAGAAGCCGATGCCAATGAATTCATGGCCAATTTCATGGCTGATTTGCAAGCTCACTTTGACGACGTCATGGATTTGAAGGCAATGTGTGTTGGAACTTGTGTCAAGAACAAGCACCTTTTGATCAAAATTTTCCAAGAATGTGGTGACAAGGAGTTTGTTTTTATCCGACGATCTGGTTTCTACTTTGGTTTCCTATTTGGTTTGGGACAAATGGCTCTGTTCTTCTTTTATGACAAGTAAGTCCTGTGCTGCACTGTGGCAAGGCATGGAATGATGTTCTGTATTGTGTCTTGCACACTGATAGTGACCTGACCATGTTTGTTCCTCCTCTTTTACAATTACTGCTGTAGGTCATGGGTACTTCCAGTGGCTGGGTTCATTGTTGGTTGGTTTACTAACTTTGTTGCCCTGAAAATTATTTTTCAACCGCTGGAACCCATGAAATTATGTGGGTACTCCTTTCAAGGAATCTTCCTCAAACGACAAAAAGAGGTTTCAGAAATCTATGCCCGTGTAATCTGCACAGAAATTCTACATGTCAAGGCCATGTTTGATGATATTTTTGTGGGGCCTCTATCCGGTAACTTTTATGCCATGCTGAGGGCACATACATTGGTTTTTACTGACAAAATGACTGCGGAACTCAAACCACTAGCCATCGCGGCTATGGGAGCTGAACAATTTGCAGCCATGAAGGAAGCCATCGCTCAGAAAGTGCTGGATGAAATCCCAAATATCATTGACCAATCATATGAGTATGCAACTGAAGCCTTGGGAATTGAAGAGGAAATGAGGACAAAGATGAAAGAATTGACACCTGCTGAGTTTGAGGGTGTTTTGCACCCTTGAGGGTTTTTGCTACAAGTTGTGAGCTATTACTCTTTATCATCTAACTATTCCCCAACTGTTGTACCTTGATATTTCAATATCAACAGTTGAGGTTGATTCTTTCATACTTTCCTTGCAGGAGTGGAAGCATGCTGACCTTCCAGATTGTTGAGGATCTCATGATCCCTCACGATGTCACACGCCCTCAGATGCTTTGCCGGCTGCAAGAGCTCCTCCTTGGTCATGTACTCAGCCTCCCACTGCATAATGCTCTCCCTCTGAGACTCGAACAGCTCTCGTGGTTGTGGCTTCGTTGCGATGTCTCCCAACTGGTACCTGCTTGGGATCTTGTGTAGAGAGATCAGCTTCTCTCGAACGTAGCCTCTAAAATGATGCATTTTGACGCATATGTGTTTCGTCCTTGGCCTCATTTTGGGCTCCACTGCCATTTCGAGTGCTCCACTGTTGTCCTCAAACACTTTGCAATGCACCACCGGTGGTTTGTCGTGTGTCCTCCATCGAAGCTGATTCTTGGATTCCTCAATGAGCTGCATGAGATTGATTACCTCGCGCAATGACTCGGACATTGCATTGTACTCGGCTTCTGTCGTCGATAGTGCCACCTCTCGTTGCAACTTCGAAGCCCACGTCACTGGGCACCCACCGTAGAGTACCACGTATCCAGTTCTTGATTTCGCCGTAGATGGATCTACATCCGCCGTTGCTCTGTTCCAGTTTCCTACGAAGTCCGCGTCCACGAACACATCGAATGAGCACGACGTCGGATTGAGGATCACTCCCTTATCCATTGTCCCGATCAGATAACGCCCGATCCTTTTCACAGCAGCTGCGTGCGATTGCCTCGGTTCCGCCGAGAACCTTGCACACTGGTGGACAGCGTAAGCTATGTCAGGACGCGTGGACTTTTCCAGGAAGTTCAACTTCCCTATCACACTCCTGTAGTTCCAATCTTGCTGGATATCCTCGCCGTTGATGTCTCTGTGCAGCTTCACCGTAGACAGCGCTGGAGTTGGCTGACTCTTGGTTCCTTCTTCGAAACCAAGATCCTCAATGATTTGTTTGATCATGTGTGGCTGCGAGAGCTTGATGGTTCCATTCGGCAGTGGTTGGACCTTCACTCCAAGATAGTCCGACAGCGTTCCCTCATTTGTCATCACAAATGCTCTATGAGTCACTCCGTGTTTGTCGGTCATTGGCTTTGACAGTAGGTTGTATGCATCGTCAATCTCCTTCGTGGTTGGAGCTATGAAGATCCCATCGTCCACGTACACGAGAAGGACCACCGTTCCCTTGAAATAGACGCACATGTCTACTGTGCTCTGTTTGAAACCTCTCGCGAGTAGTCCGTCGTGCATGTACCTGTTCCAGACGCGCCCAGCTTGTTTTTTGTCCGTACAAATTCTTCTCTAAGACTAGGCAATTGTCGCCCTTGTATCGTCTTTTGTTACTGGTCTGGACCAATTTGGCCTTTCCTGACGATCGATCCACGTCAAATCCTTGTGGGATCTCCATGAACATCTCGCACTCTATGTCTGCCTGTGGGAACGCCAGGACAAAGTCGACTTGTCTTGACTTCCACTTGTTGATCAGCATCAGAATGAGGAACGTTCTGATCGTGGACCAGCCTACTACGGGGGAATACGTCTCCCAGTAGTTTACGTACTTGGTTTGCTTTCCACCGTGCACATTGAGCCTTGCCTTCCATTTGTAGATTTCCTGAGTCGCAATGCGCCTCTTCCTGCGGAACGCCCATACAGCTGGAAGGAGCACCGTACCGCTTGGCATCTCGCTCTTCTTTGCGATTCGCCAATGCTTGTTGTCCTCGTGCGATGTGACTTCTTTCACCATAGCTTCCTTGAATTGCTTAGCGTCGTGCGCCGCCAATGCACCATCGATGTACATGATGTCTGGATTGGTGGATGCTGCGAACGCGATTGGATCCTCCAGCTGTTCCTGAATCACGTACTCGCCATCGTGGAAGACTTCCCAAGGAATCGCAGTGTACGCAACGTGATAAATGTCGTGACTCTGGGGTCGCCGAACCTGTCTTCCTGACCTGGTGACCGGCGCTTGTGCATGGGGCTCTGGTTGTTCTTGCTCCGCTGGTTGGCTTGGCGTCTCTTCGACGTCCCCGTCGGTGGATTGGGTGCGTTCATCGTCGTTGTCGTCCGTAGGTTGTTGTTGAATCCCGAAATCGTCTAGTAAGATGTCCCTCGCCCGCAGAGCTGGTGGCAATTCGATCGGTTGGGTCCCGTCGTGTCCGTGTTTCGCTGGATCATTCTCTCTGTTTCGTTTGGTTTCCTCCATTTCTTCTCCACGATGGTGTACATCGCCGTCTTCGAAACCTGCCTTCCGCTGCCAGTTTGATGCTGGTGGGTGATTCCCTGACTTTGGACGGAGAGTGTCACACAGGTCGTCAAACTGACAATGAAATTGCGGTGAGACGAGTCCAGTTCGTAGGCTGAGGACCAATGCGACCTTTCTTGAATGTCTGGGTGACAATCCCAGATAGATGCCAATTCTGGCCTTATGTTCCCACTTTTGAATGGATTTTCCTTCCTGGAGGCGGCTATCGAGGACGTACACTGGTGATCCGAACGTGTGTGTGTTCTTCACCCTCGGGGCCACATCCACTCCTGAGAAGAGTTCGATTGGAGACGCATGATCGTTCCGAGTCAAGATGGGTGCCGAATTTGCAATGTCACTTGCATACCTTACTGCAAATGGCCACAGGTGAGAGTCTATTGCCGTTGGCCATCTCTGCTTTGCGTGGAGCAGCATCGTCCTGGCTGCCTCTTGGAGATCCCTAATCTTCTTTTCCGCCTTCCCATTCATGTGATGAGCATTCACAGCCGCGTAGGAGATCGTCTGGCCTGACCCATGAACTTCTTCAGCAAAGGCCTTGCTCTCGAATATCCCGTTATCAGCATGGTAGTGCTTGACTCTGACTCCAAATGATCTTGCATACCTCTCGAAAGCTCTCTTTGCCTCGATTGTTTGCTCTGCCGACGTTGAGGTCTGGAAGTGCACGTAAGACAGCCCACTGTAGTGGTCAACGAACACTGTGCTCACTGAATATCTCTTCTTCGTGAGGATCCCTCTCATTTGCCCAATGAATCCAGGTGTGGATGAGATCATCTGGTCCACACCAACAACCGAACCCGGGGCTGTTGCCGACAATGGACCGGGTTGGTTGCTCGGAGTCCTGTTCCTCCACGGCCTCCTGGTTGCCTTGCCAAACATGCAGCTTGCGCACTTGGGCGCCCTGGCCTTGATGAGCCTTGCCGGAAGATCTCCTCTTTCTGCTAGCTTTCGGATGCGCTCGAAAGAAATGTGCCCAAGTCGATAGTGCCACGCCAGTATGTCTGCTTCGTCGGTTCTGTACTTCAGGTACCTGTGATCCAGCACCGGCTCTTGTTCCACCATCCGTAAGTCCTTCTTCATTTTGAATGCGTGAGTCATTCGCTGCTGAAACTCATCGCTCTTATTCTGTTCTTCCACGGCTTCAGGTGGGAGATCCGGATGCATTCGCGGAAGGACCGACTCATCGTCGTCAGATTCATCTGAAGATCCTCCGCCTGTGTCGTCATCGGATACCGTTGCTACTGTCGGCATCGCCATAAGGTCGAACTCGTCCAGTGGGCCATGCCCCAGATCGTTCTTTACTCGCGCACAGAACGTGTGCAGCTTTGAGAACGCGGGTGCACTTCTCACGACAGCTATGTTACTGGCTTGAGACAGCTTAATTGCTCGCTTGAATTCACCTTGGTTCCAGAACAACTCGACTGCATCTTCATATGTCGCACACCAAGTTCCTCTCTTCTTCGGGTAGTTGTCATTCGCTACCTTGGCCCAGTGTTGTGGTGACAGCAGTCGGAAGGGAGTTGATGCGTTGTAGTAAGTGTCTGGGATCACGAAGTGATGCGCTCGCCCTTGTTCATCCTCGATTGTCCATCTGACTGTTCCCTTGTACGTTGCCGTCACTGAGCCGCCAACGCCCTTCACTGCTACGCTGACCCTTTGGGGCGTGTCAATGAAGTCCTTCATGCAGTTGGTCATGCAACGGGATGAGCAATTGTCAATTGCTATCAGTACTGAGTCGGTGTCATACTGGTGATCATCCGAGTTGCCATTCATTGATCCCCTGAGGGACCACATGACGAGGCTGTAGGCAACCATTGGGTTGCCTTCCACCCTAGCTATCGATGCTCCGGCCTTCAGTGCATGCAGAAAGCGCATGAACAACTGAAACTTGGTTGGTGGTGGGTCATCGTAGGACAGCTCGAGGTCCCACAGCATCCCAGCATATCTGGTTGGTCGTGATCTGGAATCCTTCGCTGTTGATTCTTGTTCTTCTTCTGACCAGCTGGAAGGGGCACCGTCCCTGGCTCGACCTGACCGCACTTCCGCGGAGTTCTCGATTGCCAGCTCGTTGAGCGACACGAGTAGACTGACGGTCTGTTTGGTTCGCACTGCGACGTTCCTCATCACTTGAGTGACCGCGCTGAGTGACCTTGTCCATCTCCGGACGATTGGCTTCCATCCTCTGTTCCTTTTTGGCACGTACGCCCTATGCTCTGGGACGTCCGTGGCCCACGACAGCAGGCACTTCATCGCGATGAAAAATGTCAGGAACTGCGTTCCAAATTCTGTGAGTGCAAAAGCATCCGTTGTGGCAATTACTGTGCCTACCAACAACAGTTGGCCAAGCTGATACATCAGTTGGATTGGGTGAACAAACATGGTGGCGTAGACGATCGTCGCCATCCAGTGCTGATTGAACGTGATGACCCACTCGATCACGGAGGTGATGTTGCAGGCAGCAAGGATCATCATCATTTGGGTCAGGTCTGCTTCATCCGCGGCTCGATCAAATGACGATTCGAGTCGGAGAAGAGCGCCTTTGGTGGTCTTTGAGGCTTGGCAAATCGAGGCGAGCGCCTGAGCCAAGAATTGTGCTAGGAGCAAAGTATTGAACACGCACGTAACAAAAAAGTGATCACTATGGTGAGTACAGTAAGCTACTATTGTGGGCGTCGCTACCTTGCTCCAGCACCATCAGGGATTGTCATCGACCGTGGCTGTGCCGACATCCTCCATGGCTCCAGCAAGCGCGGCTTCCGTGGCATCGGTCTCGCTGATGGCCGCAGCTGCAGCAGCTGCTTTGGCTTCCTTCGCCTTGGTGCAACCAGTTCGATGATCGATTCCCTTGTCGTTGACTGCGAGGACCCACTTGGTTGTGTCATGGTAAGGGCAATAGATGTAGTTCTTGCCGTTGACTGTCTTTTCTTGGGCCTCACCTTGCTTTGGCGCTACCAATTTCCAGGCAAACTTGTCGCCCTGTCCTTTCTGGTCCTTCCTTGGAGGGGTCTTGGTAGCTCCGCCGCCTGTGGCATTGCCTCCGGTTGGCTTGGTCGCCACAAGGCTCACCAATTGCGCTTTGAGAGCAATGATCTCGAGTTGCTCTTCAGTTTTCTTCATCCATTGGTTCTTGTCCACGAGGACTTTGTACCTCTCAAGAGCTACCTTCATCAGTGATGGGTATTCGAGCTGGATGGTACCATCTTCATACGCTTCCTGCTTCATGTAGATGTATCTGGCGAACTTGGGATCAGCACAGTTTGCATATCCTTCGAAGAGGTTCTCCATCATGGGTGGGGTGGCGATGCTCCTTGCGTCCAGCTGTGCGACGAGGTCATCAACGATGGTGTTGAACTCCTCTACGTTGGACTTGCACTTCTCCATGAGCACATCCAAGTTGTTGAGCTTCTTCAGAATGATCGAGACTGTTGCTTTGGTCTCTACTGACACCATCTTGATGAGTTCGTACATCATGCATGTTCCGTCTTCCTTCATGATGGGAGGATTGGCTTGCACTCCAGGTGCCACTGCTGCTGCAGCGTTGACTGTGTACTTGTCCTCTCTGGATGCAAGTCTGTTCGCCAGCTTGGGTGTGATCGATCCAAGGAGGAGCTTGTGGAGGCACAACGATGCCTGATGCTCTCTCCGTTGCAATCTGAGGTAGGTGATCGCATGTGTCTGCACGTCCTCCAGAGTCAGACATCCATGTTGAATCGTCAGATTTCTGGACGTACCCGTCGCATCGTTGACCATCAAGACATTGGTCCAGCCATAAGCTTCTGCTCTCCTCCAGACCTTTCTGAGGAAGTCCCTCAATCCAGGTAGGTTGCCGTCATATAGCACGGAGAATGGTGCTGTGGAGGCCATGTAGATCTTGATCCCTGTTGACGAAGTGAAGTCCCAGGCGTTGTTTCCAGCTCCAGATGGCGTTACCGCAAATGGCGCAGCAGGGACGACGACTGCTGGAGGACGTATGGCATCAAGGACGTTCTGGTCCTGCAGTGCTGCTGCTACTGCTGCCTGAACGGCTGCCTCGACCATGGTGCGCACTTGTTGAGCGTCCATGATTTGCACCGCTTGCCTTGCTTGTTGTCTCTCTCTCCTTCGAGCAAGTCTGATCCTAGCTCCTTGGAATATTCTTTCTTCGTGTAGTTCACGTTGAGCTCTCCTTTCGGCTCTTTCCTCTCTGGTTGGAGGCCGTTCTTGGTTTTCCTGCTCCGAATCAGAAATCTTCGGGTAGTTTCCTTCAAGATATTGAAGAAAGTTGTTGTATCCTCAGATGCGAAAGATGTGAGGTTACTGTGGTCGATAGTCCACGAATATACGACTTCGAGGTGCTCCGTACGCAATTACGACAGTAAGTGACAGGAGTTGCTCGAAGTATGCAGCATGCGCAGAGGAAGCGTGAGGGTTTTTGCTACAAGTTGTGAGCTATTACTCTTTATCATCTAACTATTCCCCAACTGTTGTACCTTGATATTTCAATATCAACAGTTGAGGTTGATTCTTTCATACTTTCCTTGCAGGAGTGGAAGCATGCTGACCTTCCAGATTGTTGAGGATCTCATGATCCCTCACGATGTCACACACCCTGCCTTTGAAGAGGATGAAATCCAACTGATTCTTCTTGGAGGAGTGTTGGGAGCAATTGTTGGGGTGATCCAGATCTTTACCATCTTCCAAATATAAGGATGGTGTCCCACCAGAGTGGAATGCAACTGGCAAAATCTTGAAGGGAGATTTGTTCGTTGGACAAGTTCATGTCGCAGCGGCAAAGTAATGCCACTTTGTATCTATAAATAAATGCATGATTGATCCCACATGCTCCAACTTTGTCCAGAAAGTCTCGTGTTGTTCGATCGAACGCGCAGAAGTGAACGCGTGTGATCTAGGATACGCGTGACACTCAGCACCAAGCATCTGGAGGCCTTGCGATCTTCCATGTTTTCAGCTCTCCTTGTCCCAGAATTTTCAGCCCAAGCGAAGACGAATGTGACCGGGAAATTTTGGTAAGAGACGGAGGAGATGAAGTCCGTAACAAGTTGACGAGGGCATGAGAGGCGCGGATGCCTTCAATGTCCTTTAATCACGTCTTAGGAGGTAACATTCCGTACGATTACAGGTCGCAAAGGGCGACACTCTTTCGTCTTGAAGAAAAAGCAGGGAAATGCCGTGTTCAGGGCAAACTAGGCAAGCTTGTCGCCAGCAAATTCGTACTGTACATCGGCGTTTTCGGACAAAGTCAGTGCGAATATTGACGAAGGCGGCGGCCAAGAAACAACGCGATAGACGGGCCCACCCACCTGAGACACGCTTTCGATGAGGCCGAACCTCGAGTCAGTCCAGCAGCCAGTCATCCAAAGCGCAGCAACGGGTTCTGCTCAAAGTCGTGGGTGTTTTTCGTGGGTGAGTAGGATCAACCGTTGATTGCGGTATCTCGTTTGAATGCAGGAATTCGAGCAGTTGCCCGTGGCCAGCAACATCCAAATATTGGTTGAGTTACCTCGAGACTACCAGAGTAAAATACTACATCGCAGCATGTACACAAGTGTATGTGCTAAAAGCATCATAGCACCATTGACACGATTCCACCGAATCTGGTGCTAGCGAAGATTAGTTCAAGCGCACTCTGTGTTCCAGCCCTCAGAAAGGTGTGTACTGGGATCGGGGGGCTTGACAAGCCTTCAGAGCCCTTGCTTATCCATGCCCAAAAGCGCACGACGCCCAAACAACCCCAAACCCCAGCACTCTTAGCTTGAGGTTTCTTTGGCAAGTCGTCAGGTCGGTTTTTGCGAACGCTGTCCCCTCTTCAAACAGCTCCAAAACACCTCCGACACCGTAAGCTCGACTGCCGGTATGCCGACTCAACTCTGATCTCGCTTCGACGCTCCCGCGATCATGCCCTCGAATGCGAATGAATTCTCTGCGCACTTACATCAGGTCTAATGGTCGCAAGCCAAAACCTGTGCACGAGTTTGGATTCAAGTACTGTATCAGAGTCAATAATCGAGAAATGCAGTCTTGCTTCTTCCTCGAAGATGGGTTGGCAGCCCCTTCATGCAAGGGTTTGCCTGCAGGCCTGCCGGCTACCATACGGGTGCCGGTCCGCCAACCGGGTCCGCCTCACCTGTGAAAAAAGGTATCTTTTAGCGTTCTGGTTTCAAGACTGCGGTGCCAGAACCCTTCTCCTTCAACAATGCCGCAGTGCCATTGGCCACGCAACATCACTGGCACGATCACGTCTGAATGCCTTCAAGGTCGCATTTGTCAGTCAGTGAAACCAACTAAGTACTGGCTAGAGCAAATAGTGATGTCTCTGGATTGTTGCTCACAGCACCAAACGCCAGAGCAATTAGAGCACCGGAATTAGCAAACTAACAGAGACAATGGAGGAATCTCTACACCTGCGGGGGCTGGCGGGCTATGGGAACGAAACAATGTATCCCACGGCCAGTCCAACGGAACAGGAATCATTCTTGAAGTACGAGTGGTGGCAATACTTTATCATACCGTGGGTAGCAGGTGAGCATTGTGGTGGCACATATATCATCATTGAATATGGGCCTTCTCCTCATTGAACTCCCCTCTTCGTTACAATCAGGCATTGTTGGATATGTTACCAATGTTCTATCCCTTGAAATGATGTTTTATCCGGTTGAGTTCTTTGGTATTGAGATCCTTCGAATTCCCACAGAGCCTTGGGGTCTGATCGGATGGCAAGGGGTTGTGCCCACCAAGGCCAAGAAGATGGCATCAGTATGCTTTGATCTGATGACAGAGAAGCTCCTCAATGTCAAGGAGATCTTTGGTCGCCTCAATCCTGACAAATTCAGCGCAGTCATGGAGGATGGAGTGCTCCTGATGATGGATGACATTATCAACGACGTAGCAGAGGAGTTCATGGGAGATGCATGGAACAATCTACCCAAAGAAATCCGCAATGATATTGTTGTCACAGCAGAAGGGGATGCCAATGAATTCTTGGCCGGCTTCATGGCTGATTTGCAAAATCACTGCGATGATGTCATGGATTTGAAGGCCATGTCTATTCGGGCTGTGACTGAGAACAAGCGCCTGCTGATCAAAATGTTTCAAGAATGCGGCGACAAGGAATTTACATTCATCCGGAATTCGGGTTTTTACTTTGGTTTTTTGTTTGGGATTGGACAAATGTGTCTCTTCTTCTTTTATGACAAGTAAGTGGCAATGCTTTGCTATTCCTGGTGGGCCGTTCATGCTCATACTTACCGGAACTTTCTTGGATTATATTCCCACCGCTTGGACACAATGACTGTCGCAGAGCCTGGGTGCTTCCAGCGGCTGGTTTCATCGTGGGTTGGTTCACTAACTTCGTGGCTCTCAAGATTATCTTCAAGCCAATCGAACCCGTGAACATCTGTGGGTACCAACTTCAAGGAATCTTCCTCAAACGACAAAAAGAGGTTTCAGAAATCTACGCCCGTGTCCTTTGCACAGAAATTGTGCATATCAAGGCCATGTTTGACGATATTTTTGTTGGTCCTCTCTCTGGTAACTTTTATGCCATGCTGAGGGCGCACACATTGGTGTTTACAGACAAAATGACTGCTGAACTCAAACCACTAGCCATTGCAGCAATGGGAGCCGAACAATTTGCAGCCATGAAAGAGGCCATTGCTCAGAAAGTAATGGATGAACTGCCAAATATCATCGACCAATGTTATGAGTACGCAACAGAAGCATTGGGAATTGAGGCGGAGCTTCGGACAAAGATGATGGCATTGTCTTGTGCTGAGTTTGAGGGTGTTTTGCACCCTGCCTTTGAAGAGGATGAAATCCTTCTCATTATTGTTGGAGCAGTATTGGGAGCGATTGTTGGTGTGCTCCAGATCTTTACAATCTTTCAACTTTAATGATGCCATGCCGCTAGAGTGGGGTGAAGCTGACATGGTCTTGAGGGAGATCCACCAAGGCTCGGAGAGTTATGCTATGCATTGTATTTATAAATAAGTCAGCGGGAGCTGCGATACCTCGGCAGAAAGACAAATAGAAGAAAGAGGATCATGTTTGAGATTGCATCCTTCTTTCAAGGTAGCCCTGGCGACAACACCCGACTTCGTCGTGTGTTGCCGCCCGGTATCATTCCCTCATTATAACCTTCTTTTTTATGTATGCTAGCCCTGGCGACAACACCCGACTTCGTCGTGTGTTGCCGCCCACTATCATTCCCTCATTGTTACCTTCTGTTTTATATTAAGCTAGCTAGCATTGGTGTAGCCACGGGCTAACCCATAATTTACAGCTATCATTCGATCGTGTAACTCTAAATTTACAACACCTGCTGGCTTATTGTGTTTTTGTCCTGAGTGCACTAACCTTAAATTACATTGATATATTCCTACCCCTAACTTTTATTGAACCTTCAATTTCCAGTTTTGCCAGCTTACATTATCTCTATCCTTATACCCTGGCTTCACCGGAATAGGGGATCCCACAGACACAAAACGAGGGGATCCCACAGACAAAAACCAGGGGGATCCCACAGACAGAATATTTGCCATTAAAGGGGTACATGTAGAGGACTCAGGCAGTCAACCTGCCGAGGTTAAAGATTCTTCCGCTACAGCTGCCGAAAAATCTTGCACTCTTCTGGTACCGGTAGTGTACCTCATGCACATGGTATGTTGGTGGCCAGCAGCGCATACCGGTGCGAAACGATCACTTCAGTATCTCATGGTTCCGACAGCCAGTACCTAATAAGTGCCCGAAGCTCGCTACCTCTAGGAGCTAGGGTTTGCGGAAGGCTGGTCCAAGGCAAGAGTGTAACGCGCTTGTTTTAATAGCGAATGTTACTAGCTAGGGGCAGCGTGTTGATCTAATAAAGGGCTCGAACTCCTGTCTCGTCGTACTCAGCACCAGGCATCTTGATGACGTTGCCATCATCGTCAATGTACTCGCTCTTCTTTCCCATGATGAACCGTTCAAAGAACTTGTTCAAGATTCTATCAGTTGTCAGGAATTCTACGCTGCCGCCATTACTTGTTGTGGCCAGAATTTTGGGAACCAAGACAGCAGCAACCTCCTCTGGTTGAGCAGCCAGGACTCCAAAGGGGAATTTACGCAGCTCAGGAGTAGAGTCCTCTAGAAGAAGGGCCGTGAAAACCATGCCTGGACTCAGACTGTGAACCTGGATTGTTCCCGCAGTCTCCACCTTATCATAGCCCTGTACTCCCTTGTCTAGCTCGTCAACTAGAGACGCGGTCAGCTGTGGCAGTCCACGCTTGGTGGCACCGTAGCAAGCATATCCAGGAGTGCCGCCACCTTTGACTCCGCTTCCAACTGTATTGAAAATATGGCCAGTTACTCCGGCCTGAAAAGCAGAGATCAGCCAAGCTAGGGTAAGGCAAAGATTTGACCAAAAGATTTCTCCACCTGAATACTCGAACATGAATCCGAGAACTGATTTTGAAGATAGCAATGCACTTACCTGATCTGCCATGATATCCATAGCGACTTTGGTACACAGCAAAATTCCAAGCAGATTGACCTTTACTACCAGCTCCACTTGGCTGACAGGGACCTCTCGAAGTGCTCTTCGTCCTCCATTGACTCCAGCGTTGTTGATCCAGTAGTTGATGGTTCCAAGATTTTCTTTGGCGAAGTTTCCAAGACTTTCAACCGCCTTGGAGTCTGAGACGTCGCATTTGGTGTGGAAGACGTTTCCATTGGGATGACTGCTTGTCAAGGCGTTGGCAGCAGCAGAGCAATCCTTGACATCGCAAATGACAACGTCGTATCCTCGATCCATGAACTCCCCAGCATAAGCAAATCCAACTCCTCCAGCGGCCCCAGTGATCACAACACCTCCAGCAGACATCATCAATTGAGACGAGGAAGAATCCCGAGAAACCGAGGATGCCGTGGGAAACGCCGTTGATCGACTCATTTGTCGTGTGTTCGCAGTGGGCGCGAATGCATCGAGCAGCACCGTTTGCACCGCAACGAAGGTCAAAAGGGCAAAGTACTTCATGTTGATTGTTTGGTAGAAAATGCAGGGATGTGTATACCAATTTGATCGATACAACTGTGCCAACGGCCAAAGGGAGAATGTTGTGTCTTTACGAGAGAAGCTCTCACCAAGTATCAACTGCTTCAACCGGGACCGAATGAATCATGAAATGAGGTTACACGTGGAGTTGCTGCGACACATTTAAAAAAAGCTTCAAATTCAATGAAATAAATTCATTTAAATTTGGAAATTATGATTCGGATGGTTTCTGACGTCATTGTGGGTGTGAAGGAGCAAATTCCGTCAAGGCAAACCACAGCCCACCCCAAGGATCGGATGGAGACAATACAGTAAAAGGATGATGGCCGTTACTGTTTGGACGATGACGATTTCCATGTGGTTTCTTCTTTTGTTGGTTGTGGCAACGACAGAGGGCCGCCGAGGCTCCGCCTCTTCTTCCTCCACTGGGCACCACTATGCATACCCACGCGGCGCATCTAGTAGTAGTAGATTCATCCGATTGGGACGACTTTCTCTGGGTGGTGGTACCACAGGAAATGACATTGATCTGTCGACATGTCGTGAAGCTTCATCGTCCCTATCCAAGATTCTGATTAGTGACAGAGGCATAGAGGAACCGGCAGGAGCTACTACTGCAGAACCGCCAACCATGGATCGAGGTCAACTGCTCGTGGCGTCTGCTACTGTTACAACTGCTGCCCCCACTCGGAAAGGAATTTGCAGGATACTGCCATTCAAGTGTGGCAAGGCAAAAGAAAAGCAGCAGCACCTGAAAGCAGATCCGGCCAGCCCTGTTACGGGCGCCTCATTAGCGGATAAGGCGACCCTGGCTGTTGGCGCCACTCTGCCGCTGATTCCAGAAGATGCATGGGAACAATTGAGCGGGGATGAGTATGATGATCCCCAAGTAGTGGATGCTCTAGCACAAACTGGATTGATAATGGCCACCAAGCACGACAACAATGGTTGGGTCGATTGGAAGGAATCCATGCCGTCTAATCTAGACGCCACCTTGGACAGTGGAGAGATTCTGGTATTTAAAGGCTCCACCATCAGACCAGGCTACGGATCAGAAGTGCCATGGATCAAATCGCACTCTATTATTCCAATGGCACCAGCAGAACTTGCTGGCTTGATGATGGACTCATCACAGGTCAAGACCTACAACAGTCTTAGCTTGGGTAGAGACGACGTCAAAGTCATGCAACATCCAGAATCATCAGGCACTCATGCCACTAAAATTGTCAGGAACGTGGTACAATTACCCGTCAGCAACAGCAAGGTAGAATCCGTCACACTACTTCACACGCGACAACTCGAGAACGGTTCACATCTGTTGATCAGCCGAGCCATTGGGGGTTCCAAACACTTCACCGGGGTTGGTGGCAAAAGCTACATTCTCCTTGGAGTTAACTTGTTTGAGCCCACCAGTGATGCCAACGAATGCCGCATGACCGCCATCAACCATGTATATTCACCAGGCGTGCCTCTCATGTTGGCCGGCAAAGTCGGGGTCAAGAGTGCCAAGAATTTTGTCAAGGATATCCGGGCCCTCTGTGTCCCGGTGGCATCGCAATAGTTGCTCAGTATGTTGCTGCAATAGCGGGCTTGACGCCAAAAAAGAAATTTGCTTTGGTTGGGTTGGTGGCGGCACTACTGTACTTGGGGCCTTGCAGACATTAACGCTCTTTTGGAGGGGGCGACGTTTCTATACAAACACGTAGAAGTCTTGGCTCTTTTGTCAAAGAACACACTCCTTGCTCTTTGTTTGCGGCCTGACGGTGGATGATTCATGCATTTAACAAAAGAGAAGGGAAGGTCCTGCCTATGCACGATTTGCAGCACGAAAGAACGACATGGGTTCTTGATACCGTAGATAGAGCTGCTATATTTGTTGGCGAGCTACGAGTAGTATCACAAGACTTATCGCCTTCAATAAAATAATCCGTAGAAGATAGCGAGCCATCAAAGTATGGTGCCTGATAAGATCCCTGCAGAGCCTGGTCCTAGTGTCGTTGCTTTGACATTGGACTGGTTTCATTTTGGTTTCACCTGAGAAGAAGAACGCTCCTTGTCGATTTTGCACCTTCGCGGAACCAGCTTTATCGACCGAACTGGTCGCTATCTTGGTTTGAGATAGCACAGATTTTCCAGAAACGCGCAAGCAATACCAATAGCTCATACTGAACGGTTGCTGGAGCCTCGATGCTTTCAAGGTTACTGGAGAGATGCACACTCATTGCAGAAGCCGGAACCTCCATGAGGAGGCCCGCAGCTTCACAAAGGAGTTTCCAAAGCAGCTTGACACACACAGTCTTTTCGGACCGCCGCAAATACTTCTCCGACAGGATTAACTCTGCAAGGCGCAATGTGTAGTCGCACGATTTCGCAAGATTCTCCGATGGCATCGTGGTAAGCTGGTCCAGAGTAAGGTTAATGTGGATCTGCAAAAACGTGCCCAGATGGCGCTCCTTGATCTTCTTTTCGAGATAACCTTTTGTCTTTCCTCTCGTCTCTTGCGCCTTCTCTTCTTCTGAAAACAAGTAAGACTGGATTCGGTACTGAAACATGGCCTTTCCCCAACGACCTTCCTTCATCAACGCCCGGCAACGTCGCATCACAATCTCACGAAGGTGCTTCGTGCCTCCAGATAGTGTTCCTTTGCGAAGGTGCTTATGCTTGAGATGATTGTTGCCGACGCTGGCAGTAAGCTGCAGCAGTGCTTGGAAGTATTCGGCCAATTTGGGCAGGGTCTGGCGACTACCAGCAGTAACCAAAAGGAAGTCTATCCATTTCTCCCACAGCTCCAACAAGTCTTCTGTCTTGGAACGAGGACACTCAAACAGGAAGCGAGTACGCTTTTGAACAAGGGAACACACTGTTTCGTGGATTGATCGTCGAAACGTTGTGTCGCTCATGTTGCACACAAGGAATGCTGCGACCCGAAACAACTCGTCCATGAGTTTGGCGTCTCGAATTTTGAGCTTCGCTTGAATAGCAATGGCCTCAAAGTAATCGTAACGTTTCCGATCGCGCTTTGTCTTTTCGTAGTTGCCGTAATTGCAGTTGATGGGATTATTAAGCAGTTCCTTGAGCAAGACTGCAGCCGTTGAAGCCGCAGTGACAAAGAGGAAAGCAGTGAAATCGATAATGCCTAGAGCAAACATCCCAAAGAAGAGTGTCTCAGTACCAATAAACATCCATAATATGGAAATTTCCGTGTTAGAATATTTCTGCAATCTAATCAAATCGTCTTCTGAAGTATTCGTGGTAGACTTCTGCAATCCAATCGAACCATCTCCTGACGTCGTTTCGCTCGCATGGTCAACCTCCTGACTGGTTTCGTTCTCATCGTCTTGATTCTCGGTATCCTCAGAGAAATACCAGCCGAGGAATGATAAGAACATGATGAAGTAGATCTTGATAAAATGAAGGATAGCTTCTGCTACATCAATCCAACTCGTAGCAGTCGACTGCGAGCCGATGGCTATTCCTAATGCAAACACAACAACGCAAATCCGTCGAAGCGTATGAGCAAAAGAAGGAGGACTCTGTGCCATTAAAAGTGACACTTGATCTTTGGTACGACCTTGGTACTGGTCCATGATACCACCGGCTTCGAACATTGTCAAGGTCGCAATGCTTGCCTTCGATAAGAAAGGCAAGGTTACGAAAATGAAGGAAAATGTGAGCGTCGACAACGGCCAAACGACAAAGCCGAAATGAGTCCAGTCTTGGTTTAGTCGACGGGCGCGCACATTTTGAGAGCCGGTGCGTGTACGTCATCGACGACATCCAAAGCCTCTCCTTATTCAATTATTATTTCGTGCTGTTGCCTCTCCCTGCTGTCAACAAACCATATCTTGGACTTGACTCATCTGTGCCTGAACACCCAAAGCTCATCCCAACATCCAGACAAGAACAGCCGTGACATCAAAGATATCCTCGCAACAACACCGGCACTGGGAAAAGAATAGCCCTTGCCACTTGGAAGAAGACAATAATGAAGACATTCTTGCCGCCATCCTCCCTTTTGATGATCTTCCTGTCAATTCAAGAAGCTACATCCCTTGCTGTCAATTCACCCCGACGAGCAGGAAGCCTAGACGATCAATCGTTGCCCCAGAGTAGATGCCGAACTACACGAAAAGACTTTTTTATTGCTTTGGGCACTACCTTCGGTGCTTTTAGTGCCGTTCCCGGCATTACGTTGGCTGCACCACCTAAGAAGGTACCGCCGTATATCCAAGAGCGAGGTTCCTTGGAATCAGGCCTGGGGCCATGCCCGGGTCAGCCCATGAAAAAATGCTGTTGGAGTACAGAAGATACAGAAGGTCGTCGCGTAGAACGCTGGGTGCCTCCAACGCCGCTACAAGGAAACCCTGAAGCGATTGCAAAGGTACTGGAAGACACCATGGCGGCTTATCCCCAAGAGGGGCAAAATGATGTCGACAAAGGAGGCTGGCAGCAAGCAGAACGCAACACAGATGGGAAAGGCAGCACGTACCTGAGATATGAGTTTACATCTGGCAAATTCAAGTATATTGATGAGCTTGAATTGCTTGTGGAGAGCACCGGCAAGATATCCGTACGGACATCTTCCCGTAGCGCCGGGTTTGATTACAATGTGAATTCCACAAGGCTCAACTATATTCAACTAGCACTTGAGAATGAGGGATGGAAGGTGAAGCTAGTGTAGCCAACTTTAAAAAGCCATGTTCTGTCTATTTTGTCGACCGGTTGTGCCTCTTGTACAGATTCGATTCGTTAGATTTCATGGGCCTTGCTGCTGCTGTTAATGTAAGTGTTTTCTTCCTCTTCTAGCTACGCTGTACCTACATGTAGTTGTAGATTCTTTTCTATGGATGTATGAGTATATTCTTGCTGTATTTGGTATCGTTGGTTGTCATGGAATGGTTCACTTTTTCTCAGGAAGCTTTTCCTGAACGGTTTGCTTGTTGTTGTCTGTAGGTCTCTGCCACCAATTTCATTGCTTCGCGGGTCATTAGCATGAGCTGACACTCCAACAACCATAGGTACCATGTGCCATGTTGACACTGGGCGTATTGTTGTAATTATTGTCTTCGTCATTGCTGCCGTACTGTCCATCGTGCCATTGGTATGGATAGTCCTCGCTGTACATGTATCCATCATGGTCCCTAAAAGAATTGGTGAGAATAATGGCCACGACCACAAGCAGCCCCAGCAGTCCCAGAACGGCACACACAATTTGTTGGCGGGTTGTAAAAAGTTCCAGTGGCGGGGAAATGTTCGTTCGCAGGGCAGCGGCCGCAGCAGTGCTGTGATTGGAAGCCGCTCTCAACTCTCTCCCTGTCGATGGTAACTCTGCCACCACCACACCAGTCTCCCTCAAGGTTCGGGCAATGACAGTGACATGCTTTGGTGTTTCCTTGACGATACTGGCAGCTTCAACTGCTGATAAGTGGTGGCACGCGATTCGGTTGATGGACACCATCTCATCACCCTTGTTGATAAGGGAATTCACAAAGACATGTCCCTCGCGAATATTTGAGACAAGCAATTTGCCATCGTCTCCAGATCGTTTGAGTACCAGTCCACTGGGCTCTCGCTTGTGAGATTTGGTGACCATGCTTTCCACAAAGACAGGGGAACCACCCTTGTTGTGAACAACGATTTCTATCGGTCCCATCAAAGACTGCAATAGCTTTCTGATGGAAGCACTGTGCATGGAACTACACTGTTTCTTGTTGATTGAAATGAGTCGATCACCCACTCTCAATGGCGAGGAGGAAGCCAGGCTGCCATCCAGGATCGAAGCGATGCGAGGCTCTTTGTTGCAAAGATTGAATCCCAAGCCAGTAGACGCATCCGGCTTGACAAATGTAGCACTGATAAACTCGGCTCGGGGGGATCTGGCCAACCATCCAGATTCAATGTCTCTAGCTGTAGTCACAAGCTCGGCCACGGCAATGGCCGTCGAACAAAGCTGTGCCAGGACACCTTCCTGAACATGAACCTTCTGGGTATCTTTTTCATTAGCCGAGTACTCAGAGGACAGTTCAATCAAGGGTAGATCATCTTCTGTATCAGTGGTAGAAAAAGTATCAGCAATCGTTTCCGCAGAGACAGCGGATGCCTCTTCAAAGTGACTACTGTTGTGGTGGTGGTCCATTGTCGCTGCCTCTGTGATTTGTTCCTGATGAAGCCGAATGAGAGGCGAGGCTTCGTAAAATGTGAGTGAGGGCATGAGTTGGCTTCGAGCCGTCAGGGTTCGTGGATTGGTCGTCCACTGCTATCTGGAGACTGCACCTTGGGGTCTGCCGGCTTATCTGGGAATAGTAATGAACGCAACACGTTGACGTACACGTCAACATGATGATGGTGGGATGACATCATGACTTCCTACAGCCCTCAAGGTCATTCTCATGTCGCGATCGCGAGCACACCCAATACCTGGTATTTTGTGGTGTAAGGCCAGCTCAACTGGTTTTAACCACCATCGAAAGTTGGAGCTCCAGTATGGACGTGGACACGTGGACACTGAGAGGTGTTATCGGAGTGTTGCCGCTGGCTGCACCTTCCAGGTACCACCGGAACGTCATGTTTGGACTTGGATCTGCGGCAAGGAAGTTAGCCAATGACCATAGGCTAAATTTTACTATAGCTATCCACCCAAGAAATGAGTTTTTAGGGCGCCCCTGTCAAACCCTGATGATTGTATCGCCTTCCTCCTCAACTTTGCAAGATTTGAGGTGCCTTTTCGTTTTGAGACAAATCTGACAATTTTGCCTTCCATCCCAGAAAACATTGGCGGGGGCTACGACTGTACCGGTACCGGTAGGTCCGGGCAGCTATTATTTGCTCCTGGACAGCCAGCATGCCAAGGGGAATGAATCTCAATCGAATCTTGCGCTGGCTTTTTTTGGAGCTCTCAATGTCTTGAAAACCTTGCCCTTATTGTGTCATTTGTGCGCCAAAAGTTCTCGACATCAGGCACGCTCGACAGTGCCCGCGAAAACTTGAAGGCAGAAGGACGGGGCTTTTGGGGCTAGTCGACACACTCATAATTTGTGGTTGCCAAAGACAACAACGAAAAGGACTACCGGTATCCACCACAACAGCTACAGCTACTATCAGTCAAAGATGAGCAGCGAGGAAAACAACATCATCACTCTCCACGGTGAAGAAGATTTGTCAGAGAAATTGAACACCATGTTCACGCAACTTTTCAAGAGTCAGCTTCCCAATTTCTCCCACTTGCCTGAAGCGCAGCAAGATCGCGTCGCGGAAGAATTGTTTGAGAAAAAGAAAGAAATGTTGGATTACTTGATCAGATTGGCGGATCTTGATGAGATTCGTGACGATGATATCCAGCGAATGTTGCGGGTGCTCGGGATGAAGAAATAAGAAGCAATATCATGGTATGGGTATTCACTGCTTGTTTGTGGATTTGGAAAACTTGGAAACAAGTCACTGTTGAAGGGAGCATCGTAGCTAGCTAGTAACGCGCACAAACTACTAGTACTACTAGTTTATGGAAACGTCTTTTACATAGATTTAGTCTGCTCTGGTTATCGTGGCTGCCAAGTGATTGTATCAGCCTATTTGCATGCAGCCAAGTACCAGGTAGCCTCGGGTAAAAACCACACCAACTGAAAACGGAGCCATGCCGTATATGATCAAGTTACGGTTTGCTTATCCATGATACGGTGTCAAGCAAACTGCACGCAAACCCTGTTTCTTTTTCTGCGCTCGCCACGTGGCTGCCCATTGCTTAGTTAGCCAACCTGTAGCCTTCAAGGTATTGCTTAGTACTCTGTCGTGGGTCTAGGTCCGCCGTCGTCAAGTCCAGTACCCCCAGCAGAGTAGCAACACTGCCGGTAAGACCTCTAACAGCTATATTGCTGGCCACAATTCAGGACCCGCTTCAGGTCCGGCTGGTGCAGAGAGAAGCTCGCGTATTGGGCATAGTATTCAGCATCTCCATCATACGGTATACCGATAGATCCAGGATGGCCTACAAGGAGGTCGCTCTTCTACCGCACCAGTACTCCACTCGACGTCCGCCATCACTAAAAACTGAAGGACTCGACTCTCGGCTTCTCTGCCGGTACGGTGACAAGGCCAGGTGTAGACATAGCTCTAGCTAGCTAGAAGGAACAAAGATGAGTTGTCGACGGACTCATCTCTTGTGGACTGGTTGGAACCTTAGATTTAGAAGGAAAAAGCGTATCCTTGTCGACCGAGATGGTTGCCTGGTTGTTAGAGGACAAGAGGCTGACAAGCAACCCTGGTACTGGTAGCAAGTTTCATATTGCTTTTCAAAGCGACTTCGGTGCCATAAGCATGGATTTGGCGTTAGTTGTAGCATGAAACATACCGGTACAATCCAACTTCTATACGGTACAAATAGAGTTCGCGTACTGCATGATACTTTAGTACCGTCGGTCTGGTAGCTCTGTTGTGTCCTTGCTTCAGAACCAAACAACATTAAGTTCCAAATCATCAAGAGCTACAAGATACTATCAGAGACCTTCAGCGTCCCGCATATTGAAAATGCGGCACCCAAGCCAAGGCCGCCACCAGCCATTATCTGAAATAATTCCTGGTCATTGAAGAGCGTACCCACATCCAATCCTATTCCAGCAATGCCGTGTACATCAACACCTGCCAAAAAGCCCATGCATTGCAAATCTTGGTAGGTGGCGTCTCCGAGAACACTGCCAAAGAGCAAGGATATTTCTCCACCGCCACCTAGCTCGATTCCGGTACAAGCTCGCATAAAGGTGGATTCAAAGTCGTTGGTCGCGGGCCACCCAGTGGCAAAAATGTCAAAGGATGCCTGCAGAAGCAAGCCTCCTTCCACGTGAATCCCAAAATATTTGACACCATCCATGGCATCATCAACCCATCGACTGCTCACGGAGCAGTTGCGTTGCAGTGCAAACAAGTAATCGGCAGGTTCTCGTGCCACAGTTCGAAGGGATTGCAAGATGGATTTCACGGGCTCGGACACAGCAAAGGTGCTCTTGGAGTCGGCACTTTGCAGTTGTTGTACCAAGTCTGTTTCAGATACTCCCGCAGTGGCAAATACTTGTTCTTGGATGGCCACCATGTCGAATTTCTGTTGAAATGCGGCCAAGCCAGTTTCAAGACAAGCCGCCGATGGAAGACATCGCTTGCCGACAAGTCCCACACTCTCACAATCCAATCCTTCCGTGCACAAGTTGTCGCGATTTCCACAGCGTTGCATAAAGTGTCGATCCGAATCATCTGGCTCTTCTCCGTTTTCTTCTTCTGCCAGATATCGATCGAACATGGGGTTCACATTGTCGCCTCCCAGTGAAAATTCTTCTAGGGGGTCTTTGGCGACGACGACACCAATCCAAGACGGGGCAAACCCAAGCAAGAGGAGTATACAGCGGTAATGTCGCATTCGTACTACTGCTATCATTGAATGAAAGGAAGAGAGATCAAGATGGTATGGGCATCAGCCATGCAGGCAATCGTCAAAGGTTTTGGCTACGGTATGGGGGCAACAGACAGAGATGCATCCGTTGGCTTTTTGTTGACGGGTGAACGTTTTTAGAGAAATTATGATGAGGCCCTCGCCGCGCCGTCCCTCGCGGGTACTAATAACGGTCAGATTGTAAGAGCAAAAAGGTGGCTCTAGTAACAGTTGGGGTGACATTCTGGTTTTTAAGGTATTCACCATGTAGATATTATATAACCGGTGTGCTTTGGCTCCAAGTCAGGGACCAAGCCAGGGAGCTTGATAGAGCACCGGCACCTTGTACTTATGCTGCCAGCATAGCCTGTCTATGCATGCTCCACCCCCCCTTAAATAGATAGTCCCA